GTGTGTATGTCATTGTGTTTCCGTGTGTGTGCTCTATGGTGGGTGTGTATGTCATTGTGTTTCCGTGTGTGTGCTCTATGGTGGGTGTGTGCATGTCATTGTGTTTCCCTGTGTGTGTGCTCTATGGTGGGTGTGTATGTCACTGTGTTTCCGTGTGTGTGCTCTATGGTGGGTGTGCATGTCATTGTGTTTCCCTGTGTGTGCTCTATGGTGGGTGTGTATGTCATTGTGCTTCTGTGTGTGTACTCTATGGTGGGTGTGTGTGTGTCACTGTGTTTCCGTGTGTGTACTCTATGGTGGGTGTGTGTGTCACTGTGTTTCCGTGTGTGTACTCTATGGTAGGTGTGTATGTCACTGTGTTTCCGTGTGTGTACTCTATGGTGGGTGTGTATGTCACTGTGTTTCCCTGTGTGTACTCTATGGTGGGTGTGTATGTCATTGTGTTTCCGTGTGTGTGCTCTATGGTGGGTGTGTATGTCACTGTGTTTCCGTGTGTGTACTCTATGGTGGGTGTCTATGTCATTGTGTTTCCGTGTGTGTACTCTATGGTGGGTGTGTATGTCACTGTGTTTCCGTGTGTGTACTCTATGGTGGGTGTGTGTATGTCATTGTGCTTCTGTGTGTGTGCTCTATGGTGGGTGTGTGTATGTCATTGTGTTTCCGTGTGTGTACTCTATGGTGGGTGTGTATGTCATTGTGTTTCCCTGTGTGTGCTCTATGGTGGGTGTGTATGTCACTGTGTTTCCCTGTGTGTACTCTATGGTGGGTGTGTATGTCACTGTGTTTCCGTGTGTGTGCTCTATGGTGGGTGTGTATGTCATTGTGTTTCCGTGTGTGTACTCTATGGTGGGTGTGTCTATGTCATTGTGTTTCCCTGTGTGTGCTCTATGGTGGGTGTGTATGTCATTGTGTTTCCCTGTGTGTGCTCTATGGTGGGTGTGTATGTCATTGTGTTTCCCTGTGTGTACTCTATGGTGGGTGTGTATGTCATTGTGTTTCCCTGTGTGTGCTCTATGGTGGGTGTGTATGTCACTGTGTTTCCCTGTGTGTACTCTATGGTGGGTGTGCATGTCATTGTGTTTCCGTGTGTGTACTCTATGGTGGGTGTGCATGTCATTGTGTTTCCGTGTGTGTGCTCTATGGTGGGTGTGTATGTCACTGTGTTTCCCTGTGTGTACTCTATGGTGGGTGTGTATGTCATTGTGTTTCCGTGTGTGTACTCTATGGTGGGTGTGCATGTCATTGTGTTTCCGTGTGTGTGCTCTATGGTGGGTGTGCATGTCATTGTGCTTCTGTGTGTGCTCTATGGTGGGTGTGTATGTCACTGTGTTTCCCTGTGTGTACTCTATGGTGGGTGTGCATGTCATTGTGCTTCTGTGTGTACTCTATGGTGGGTGTGCATGTCATTGTGTTTCCGTGTGTGTGCTCTATGGTGGGTGTGCATGTCATTGTGCTTCTGTGTGTGCTCTATGGTGGGTGTGTATGTCACTGTGTTTCCGTGTGTGTACTCTATGGTGGGTGTGTGTATGTCATTGTGCTTCTGTGTGTGTACTCTATGGTGGGTGTGTATGTCACTGTGTTTCCGTGTGTGTGCTCTATGGTGGGTGTGTATGTCACTGTGTTTCCGTGTGTGTACTCTATGGTGGGTGTGTATGTCATTGTGTTTCCCTGTGTGTACTCTATGGTGGGTGTGTATGTCACTGTGTTTCCGTGTGTGTACTCTATGGTGGGTGTGTATGTCATTGTGTTTCCGTGTGTGTGCTCTATGGTGGGTGTGTATGTCACTGTGTTTCCGTGTGTGTGCTCTATGGTGGGTGTGTATGTCACTGTGTTTCCCTGTGTGTACTCTATGATGGGTGTGTATGTCATTGTGTTTCCCTGTGTGTGCTCTATGGTGGGTGTGTATGTCATTGTGTTTCCCTGTGTGTGCTCTATGGTGGGTGTGTATGTCACTGTGTTTCCTTGTGTGTGCTCTATGGTGGGTGTGTATGTCACTGTGTTTCCGTGTGTGTACTCTATGGTGGGTGTGTGTATGTCATTGTGTTTCCCTGTGTGTGCTCTATGGTGGGTGTGTATGTCATTGTGTTTCCCTGTGTGTGTACTCTATGGTGGGTGTGTATGTCACTGTGTTTCCGTGTGTGTACTCTATGGTGGGTGTGTATGTCACTGTGTTTCCGTGTGTGTACTCTATGGTAGGTGTGTGTATGTCATTGTGTTTCCGTGTGTGTACTCTATGGTGGGTGTGTATGTCACTGTGTTTCCCTGTGTGTGCTCTATGGTGGGTGTGTATGTCATTGTGTTTCCCTGTGTGTGCTCTATGGTGGGTGTGTATGTCATTGTGTTTCCCTGTGTGTACTCTATGGTGGGTGTGTATGTCATTGTGTTTCCGTGTGTGTACTCTATGGTGGGTGTGTGTATGTCATTGTGCTTCTGTGTGTGTACTCTATGGTGGGTGTGTATGTCACTGTGTTTCCGTGTGTGTGCTCTATGGTGGGTGTGTATGTCACTGTGTTTCCCTGTGTGTACTCTATGGTGGGTGTGTATGTCATTGTGTTTCCGTGTGTGTACTCTATGGTGGGTGTGTATGTCACTGTGTTTCCCTGTGTGTGCTCTATGGTGGGTGTGTATGTCATTGTGTTTCCGTGTGTGTACTCTATGGTGGGTGTGTATGTCACTGTGTTTCCGTGTGTGTGCTCTATGGTGGGTGTGTATGTCATTGTGTTTCCGTGTGTGTGCTCTATGGTGGGTGTGTGCATGTCATTGTGTTTCCGTGTGTGTACTCTATGGTGGGTGTGTGCATGTCATTGTGTTTCCGTGTGTGTACTCTATGGTGGGTGTGTGCATGTCATTGTGTTTCCGTGTGTGTGCTCTATGATGGGTGTGTGTATGTCATTGTGTTTCCCTGTGTGTACTCTATGGTGGGTGTGTATGTCACTGTGTTTCCCTGTGTGTGCTCTATGGTGGGTGTGTGTGTCATTGTGTTTCCCTGTGTGTGCTCTATGGTGGGTGTGTATGTCACTGTGTTTCCCTGTGTGTACTCTATGGTGGGTGTGTATGTCATTGTGTTTCCGTGTGTGTACTCTATGGTGGGTGTGTATGTCACTGTGTTTCCCTGTGTGTGCTCTATGGTGGGTGTGTGTGTCATTGTGTTTCCCTGTGTGTACTCTATGGTGGGTGTGTATGTCATTGTGTTTCCGTGTGTGTACTCTATGGTGGGTGTGTATGTCACTGTGTTTCCGTGTGTGTACTCTATGGTGGGTGTGTGTATGTCACTGTGTTCCCGTGCCACATTTGGCTCACTAGTTCATCTGTTGATGGATACCTAGGTGGTCTACACCTCTTTTCTGCATGAGTAATTTGCTGTCAACACTGGCAAACAAGAATTCTGCCCTCTGCATCCACTGCTCCCTCATCCCCAGAGCCAGAATATTTCTTCAAAAACACTATGCCTATGCTGACCACACACAGGCTCATCCTTACTCCCCGGGTGGTGCAGATAATGACTGCTTGCGTGGGATCTGCCTCATATTAGGTAGTTCATATAATGGAGATGGCAGTTAAAAAGTGCATGTAGGGTATATGCAGAGGTCACCATGTCATACAAGGGTTTATTTTGGTTTGGATTAGATTTTTGAGACTTTCGCCTAGAGCTCACTGTGGATCCCAGACTGTACTCACAGCCTTGCCATCCTCCTGTAGCAGTTCCCAGGTTCTGAAGCGACAGGCACAGGCCACCATGCCCAGCTGGGCGTACACAGGCTTTCTTTTTCACCAGCTCCTTGCTGACGTCGAGGGACAACTGTGTGTGTTTGACCTGCTCTCTGATTTCTGGGGTGCACACATCTAGTGAAGGTGCAAGGCTACGCGTCACATCCAAGCCCCAGAGGGACTGCTGCTTTACGCAGCGCGTGGATTCTGGTTTCTCCGCATCCTTGTCAAGGCTTATGCTGGCCGCTCCTGGCACCATGCCGGCACAGCGGGAGAGAAGTAATATGGACTGGTCCTGCTGGTGTCCACGTCTTCCGCGTGCTTCTTCCTTGTCTTTCTGAGGGGTGTCCCCGAGTCTGCTGGCTTGTGGATTCTGGCTGTGCGTCCTTTCTCTATTCCTCTCTGCCCCCATGCCTCCCAAGGCTGCTTAGCTCTGGAGCTCCCCACTGCAGCTGAAATAAAACAGCTTCTCGTGGCCGGGGAGGGGTGTGTCCCCACCTTGGTTAGCCAGTCGACTGTCAAGCTCTTATCTTGCAAATGCTTTCCCCATCGGCTCCTAGGTTTTCCTCCATCCTTTTCCCATTTCTCTTCCTTCTTGTCCTCAGCACTTATCATCTAACATATCTGTGTTTGTCACTAGGCTGTCACCCCTAAGACATCAAGAATTTTTGTCAGTTCTCAGTTCTACATGTCTTTCTCTCCTGAGCATTGCCTTCAAGGTGCTTGCGCCGTGGGGAGACAGCAACCCCAGGGAGCAGATTGAAAGTCTCACCCTCCAGGCTTTCAGACTCAAAAAGGGCTCTCTCCCTCTGGTTTCTTGAAATAGCCCCCTGTGGCCACACTGTAGAAGATTCCTAGAATCTTCTGTGCCCACCTAGCAAGAATCAGCTGGGACTGAGGTGATTTCCACGGGGCCTTAGAGGTGACTCCCCCATTGACATTTATGAGGCCACTCAAATATGTCCTTCCTGGTCTTGTCCCCCAAAAGCCCTTTCCATCCAACTCTAAAACCCAAAGGACACTAAGACAAGGCTCAGGGGACATCACAATTCCCTCTCAGGCCACCTCTTACCTAGCCTCCCTGCCCTGGGCCTCAGATGGCTGCAGGGACGGAGTCCAGATACCAGACAGGGCTATTATCTGAGCAAGCCTCTCTGCACGCCTCAGCGTCCACCTCCCAGCAACGTAAACACAGGGTCACCCTGTCCTTCCCTGGGGCCCTGGACCTCGAGCCTACCAGCCGCATCAAGCAGGCTTGAGCACGGCACTCACAGCACCCCCTCCATCCGCAGCCATGCCTTTCGCCTGTGGAGAGCCCTGGGAGCTGAACAGCCTGCAAGCCATTTGGTTCTTACTGTGCTGATAGCGTGGCTGCAGAAGAGGCCTCTGCCGTCTAGTGCCTGCGACGGCAGCTCCTGTCCGAAAGAGAAGCCTTACTTGCGTTCACTGGCTGTGAGTCTCTGACCCCATCCCTGGCAGGCAGCTGTGTGAGCACAGAGTCAGTATGCCAGGCTTCAGGGAGGAGGATTGAGACCCAGTCCACTCCCTATTTGGAGGAAGAGGAGGGGCATAGGGCAGTCCAACCCAAAGATTGAACCCACAGTCCTTGGCCCCAGGCGCAGTTCCCAATGACCTGGCTCAGGACTCTGAGCCCTCAGGAGGTAAGTCAGAAGGGTCTGCCTGTAGGACTGCTAAAAGACTGTAAGAGGCAGCCTCGGAGGGGAGGGGGGCCTCCAACAATGTACAAACAGAAGTCCAGTGTTTGGGGCTCAAAGCCATGCCCCATATTGTGATCATAGATTCTGGATGAGACGTCGAGTTAGCAGCAACACTGTCCTTGGGACCCTCTCTCCAGTTTTCTCCATTAGCCCACACTGTGTCTGCAGACCCTGGACCAGGACACCTGCTTGCTAGGTGGCCATGCCTACACCTCTCCCCTTTGTCTGGACTCTTGCAAGGCAGTAGTTGTGCCAAAGTCCATGTGGCACTTTCTTAGGCAGAGCCCTGGTCCCAAAGGCCCCTGTGGGTCGGCAGCACACAGCTGCCGACCCACACCCAGCACTCAGACACAGTGCTGAGAATATAGGAGGGCTTAGGTTGGGGTGCACTGGTTAAGGGAGCATCGTTGGGGAGCATGGGTTGGAATGCACCAGCTATAGAACATCAGCTAAAAGAGCACAGGTGGAGGAGCACCATTTGGGGAGCACCCAGGAGACTAGAGCAGCAGGTCCAGAGGCTCTGTTGGAGGCTGCACAGGTGACATAAGCCAGCACAGGTCAAACGGCATTGCCTGGACACTTAGACCTGGTCTTGAGCCATCAGAACATGGGGAGAGGTGTGTTTGAGTGTGGGTTTTGGCTAATCCCAGAACGTCAGATCCAAACTCGCCCGTCTCCAACAGGCCATGAACACAATTCACGAGCTACAGTTTGCGAGAGAGTTCAAGAAAGCCGTGCGGGATGCCTTTCCCCAGCTATTCCTGGCCCTTCTGGCCCAAATACACTATATCCTGGAGCTGAACCAACCCACAGAGCCTGAGCAGGAGCAGAAAGCCCAGGAAGCTGCCACGCCAAGCCCCCAGAGGTGAGCCCAGGACCTTACACACACCTATAGGAACCCAGGACTAAGTTAGCTTCCTGCCCAGCCAGGAAACAGCACACACACACACACACACACACACACACACACACACACACACACACACACTGGAGTTGGGGGTGGGGCTTAGATAGCAGATATTACCTTCTCTTCAGAGGTCAGAGGTCGGAAGTCTAAATTCAGAGGGTCTGCAGCCTTGTCCTTTATTTTTTTCCTTAGCTGTGTCTGTTCCCAGGATATGTCTGTAGCTTGAAGCTGCATGAGTTTAATCTCAGTCTCCAACATCCCATAATACTGTCCTCTGCCTGTGTCTAAATGCCCACTTCTTGTTAGGATACCAACAACTGAGTTTGAGTTGCCCTAATAACCTCCTCTTGACTGGAGGGCATCCGCACAGTTGGTGAAGGGTGATGGGGATTATCTCCAACACAACTTTCTAAAAGGGACAATTATAACAGTCATGATCCCAAATGTCATTCGTAGCTGGGATAGCAGCCAGCACAAATGATCTCAAAGACAGGTATGTGCCTATTTTCTTTGTCCCCTAGGCTACCTGGCCCCACAAACACTTATCAAACAGGGGCCCCTGAACACAGCTACCCAGTTATGGCACAGGGCACATCTTTTGGAGGGAAAAGGGGTTTAATATAGGGTATCTCTATGTAGCCCTGGCTGTCCTAGAACTCACTCTGTAAACCAGGCTGGCCTCGAAATCAGAGCTCCACCTGTCTGTGCCACCAACGCCCAGCAGGGCACCTCTTCTTGATCCATATGCTCCTTGCAAGGGCCCAGGACATAGACGTCCCCTCCCCACATCACACACATGGAGCAGCAGAGGTTCATGGTGGCTCGGACACTTCTGTAGCCAGGAGGCACTAACCTGGACCACAGACGATCATCCAACCCTCGCTCCTCATAGCCAATGCCGTGGCTGCCGGAGTGGACCGTGGACACTGTGTAATGTCATCAACCCACCTGACCAGGGTGTGAGGGACATTCTGTCCTGCCACAGTAGGGGCTTACTGAATTGGGCTTCCCCTTTGCACCTGATCATATTTCCCAAAATCCAATAAGCAAGTCTTCTAAACCCACCTGGGCTCACTCTTTCCATTTGTGTGTGTGATGATAGGCTTCATGCAATTTGTCAGTTTTAACAACTCTCCCCGAGGCACATCACAGGGAAAAAAAATGTCACTTCTCAGATTGCCTCTGAATTCCAATATGCACAAAATCTCTTTTTTATTCACATCAACCATGCAAAACGCATGAATCTTGCCTAATAAGCTAATAAAACATTCTCCTCCCAGAGCACAGCAAGAATGCAGAGACGACTGTCTCCTCCCTCTGCTTCTCTGCCAACCTCTTCCTGCAAATCCTGCTGCCCTCAAGGCTCACCTGAGCGTTCCCTGTCAAGGCCCCCATGGCCACCCTTATAATCAGCAACACCTCCCTCAGCCCCTACCCTGCCTTGGGCCCTCAGCATCTAACAACAAAGATCTCTGCTTCTTTTCTAGTTTGTTGCCCCCACCCCATGGGGTAGAAGGTTCTAGAAGACAGGGGAGTGTGTTTCCATGCCCCGTGGGTAGCTTTCCATCCACCTCAGCTCTTCTTTCCCCACTGGCCATCCTGTAGACAGATCCTAGGGGTAGTCCCAGCAGTCAAAGGCCCTGAAACACACCCTGAGGGGAACACACGAGCTCTAATTGGCCCAGACTCCTGAACCAATGGAAACATCCACGGTTCTGATTGACGCCTGAAGCTTGAACAAGACTTTGACCTCCCTCTCCAGAGGAAAGAACCATGGCTGGAGCTAACCTGCTTATGTGCCTGCTGACAAGCCACTCAGCAGGCACGTGTGCAGGGGTGACGGGGGAGTCAGTTCGGAAGCTGGCTGGCACTCTCTACGCCTCAGAGAGCAGGTGGCATCTGCGAGATGTGAGATGCAGCAGCTGTGTGGTCCTCAAAAAGGACAGCTGTGACATGAGGTGTGATGTCACGTGCTTGTCACGGGGGGCAGAAGGGTCATAAGCGTGGGGACAGCCTGGGGTATGCAGACAGTGTGTCTGGGGAGGGAGGAGCTATGAAATGTCCATGTGACCCAGCAATCCCTCTTCTGCTCTGGATTTGTACCTGAAAAAAAATTATTGAAAGCAGACACTCAGAAAAGCCTGGAAAACTTGCTGACAGACACTAATCACCGTGGCCGAAACTGGAAATGTGCCGAGTCAAGGGTAGATGGACAGATGGACGGACAGACAGAATGTGACCCATCCAAGCAATGGGATAACACATTAGCCACTTTTCTCACTTCTATGATCAGATACCTGGAACACAACTTAAAAGAAGGAATTCTTTACTTTAGCCCATGGCTTCAGAGGGTTCAGTCCATGGCCGCTCAGCCCCGCGTACTCGGGCCGAGTGTCGTGGCAGCGGGAATGTGTGGCTAGGGCTGTTTTTCATTGCTTGGTGGACAAGAGGCAGAGAGAGGTATAAACCAGAAGGAACCACAGCAGCTAGAGGCATGTACTAATCTTCTAAGATCTTATGAACCCAATCAAGACGGCCCATCACAGACAAACCTCAGAATTAAAGGGACATTCTAACACTTGGTGACAGTGGCAGGAGGATCAGGAGTCCAAGGTCATTCTCAGCTACAGAGCAAGTGCAAAGCTAGCCTGGGATGCATGTGACCCTGTCTCAAAGAAAACAAAACAAAAAAGACAAGTATTGTAGGATTCTACTCACATCAAGTCCCTAGAGGACTCAAAGACAGGAAATAGAATGATGGGGTGGGGGCAGGGCAGGGTGGGGGATGGCGGCCAGGGGTAGGAGTCGGTGTTTAACGGGAGTTTCCACATACACAGGCACTCACACACACACACAAACACCATATGCATAATCTACTTATTAAGCAAATAAATAAAAACAAAGAAGGCAGTTTGTGACTGTGGAGGTATGTATCTGGCTGGCTGTTGGGGAGCACACAGGCTTTGCCTCCTCCTGAGGGCCACAGCACCTGGGAGCTGGAGAGTGCAGAGTCTGAAGACAAGACAGAGGAACCTTCTGGATCGTCATGGGGACTATCCTGTGGCAGGTGTTACCTCTAAGGACTATTCTTCACTGGATGCATGTGAACTTCAGATGGGACAAGAGTGTTTGGAGCTCTGGACTGGGAAACGAGAGCTGTAGGGATCCCCAGAGACTGTGACTTCCTCCTGGAATCGGGCAGAGATCCCCAACAATTCTCACATCCGCTGATGGCCATCCTTCAGAAGCCCTGGCTGTGGCCATGAGGACAAATCGACCATGAAGATTAAGCTGTCATTACGGGCCCAAGGTGCCCCAAGACTAGAAGATTCCAGAATGTCACAAAAGGGACAAAATGCCCTCTCACCCGCTCCCCTTCTGAGGGCCATGATGTCTCTCTGGGTGTGATCAGTGGCTGAGGGGAGATGTTTTTAATGGTGCTTCATTTTAATGCCAGCTGTGGACGAGAGCTCAGCAAGCTTGTGCACTCCCAGCCACCAAGCCAGGGGCAGCAAGGAGCTGCCTTCAGGAGCCTGCATTCCCCAGGTTTCTGCTTGAATTCCGTACTACACTGAGTACTCTGGACTGTGGCGCCAGCGCCACAAGCAACTCCAAGGTATCAGGAAAAGAGAGACAAGACGTCCATTTGTTTGTACTAAGAGAATGTATGTGCTGCCTTTATTACCAGGAGAGAGAGAGAGAGAGAGAGAGAGAGAGAGTGTGTGTGTGTGTGTGTGTGTGTGTGTGTGTGTGTGTGTGTGTGTGTGTGTGTGTCTTCATTGCAAGTGCTAAGAGGTCTTTTCTTTTGTAGGAGGGAGGAGCTTTTTATACAAGTTTACAGCACAGTGGAAAAAACCCCAGGTAGAAGAGATCGTTGTTTTCCTCCTGCTGGATGTTGATGTCAGAGGGTCAAGGCCAGGGCAGTAAGCCAGGACTAGAAAACAGAAAGCACTTGGACTGGAAAACAAGTTGCACTTGTAGGCTGACCAGCAACTCACAGAGACCCCATGGGGCTGGGGCCCAACATCTCCCCCCTTCTTTATATATAAATTAGCACCTATCTCAGGTGACAAGGATGTTAATGTCAATCTTAGTATACAAAAACAAACATTTATAAGCAATATTTGGGAATGTGGGCGTCGTTCTTTCCGAGCTACTTCCTGCTGTAAAGGGGCGCTGACATACCATGGGGATCATGACAAAAAAACAAAAACAAAACAAAACAAAACCCAGAACCTGTTGACGTTCTTGTTTTTGTGGTCTGTAAGGCTGCATCATCTCAGCTGTTTTAGGTGTTGGATCACCTGGGCCACTGCTTCAGGTGGTCTTGCTTCATCAAACCATACTAGTCTGGAAGGAACCCACAGCTTTTTATGTTCTGTGGAAACAAAAGCAGAAATTATTTTCCCAAGTAACCTGTCCTTATATTTAAATTTAGAAGTCAAAGCATTTTCAAAACATGCAAGTTGGATTAATTTAGCAATATTAATAATCAAATGTCTTTTAGCAGTTTTTGTTCCTTTCTTAGCAATTAAACAATTTAAAGACAACACAACTGTACACAGTATCCAGACTCTCTGTGTATTTCTCATTTTATATACTTTTATCTTTTCCTTTTCTTTTACTTAATACCAGTACCTCCTTTATTAACCGTTACCAATTTTTAATTCACCCACTTTTAATCCATCCTCCAACTGAGGGTGATCTCTCAGGGTCCCCTTACTTTCCTGACCTTTGTCAGGCCAAGGCCTGGAGATTTAATCCAATCCACCCTCCAACCTAGGGCAATCTCTCAGGGTTCCCTTACTTTCCCAACCTTTGTCGGGTGAAGGCCTGGAGATTTAATCCAATCCACCCTCCAACCTAGGGTGATCTCTCAGGGTCCCCTTTCTTTCCTGACCTTTGTCAGGCGAAGGCCTGGAGATTTAATCCAATCCACCCCCCAACTGAGGGTGATCTCTCAGGTTCCCCTTTCTTTCCTGACCTTGGTGTCAGGCGAAGGCCTGGAGATTTAATCCAATCCACCTTCTCCTTAGAAGGTGATCTCTTAAGTAAAGCCTGGAGGTTTGACCATTTAATTTTACTGTTAGAAGCTGAGGTACCTGTTTTTGATTCTTTTCTTTCTCGAGTCTCTCCTTTTCGAGTCTTCTATCTGGCCAATCTTTCCCAGTCTTTCCAAGTCTCTCTGGATCTCGGTGGGACGTCCAATTGCGGCGCCAGCGCCACAAGCAACTCCAAGGTATCAGGAAAAGAGAGACAAGACGTCCATTTGTTTGTACTAAGAGAATGTATGTGCTGCCTTTATTACCAGGAGTGTGTGTGTGTGTGTGTGTGTGTGTGTGTGTGTGTTCATTGCAAGTGCTAAGAGGTCTTCTCTTTTGTAGGAGGGAGGAGCTTTTTATACAAGTTTACAGCACAGTGGAAAAAACCCCAGGTAGAAGAGATCGTTGCTTTCCTCCTGTTGGATGTTGATGTCAGAGGGTCAAGGCCAGGGCAGTAAGCCAGGACTAGAAAACAGAAAGCACTTGGACTGGAAAACAAGTTGCACTTGTAGGCTGACCAGCAACTCACAGAGACCCCATGGGGCTGGGGCCCAACACTGGACTGAGGCCCCTCACAGGTACCCTGCAACTAGCAAACACCAGGTCATGTTTTTCATGGACACAGGCAGAGGAGCCTCGGATATGGAAATAACCTCTCTGAACTCCCACAGTGTTCAGAACTCCACACCCTAGCTCACCTCCTTCCCAGGGGCTCCTTGCTCATTTTTCTTTGGAACATATGCATCCTTCAAGACTTATCTAAGACCCTTCCCAGCCTGGGTCATGGGAGAACCTAGAGCCCAAGACCACCCAGAGCTCTCTCCAGCCGTCTCCTGTGCGCTCTCTGCCCCCAAACAGCAGCTGAGCAACTAAAAACTCTGCCTACTGCAAAAGCGTAACTGTCTCCACTGTGGTGGTTCCAATGAGCACGGCCCCCATAGCACTGGGACATCCGAATGCTTGGTACCCAGCTGGTAGAAATGTTTGGGAAGGATTCAGAGGTGTGGCCCTGTTGGAGGAGTGTCACTGGGGGTGGGCTTTGAGAATCCTTCCCCGTTAGCACCCACTCTCTCTCCTGCTTGTGAATCAGACGTGAGCCCTCAGCTACTGCTCCAGCACGGTGCCTGCCTGCCACCGTGCTCCCCACCACGATGGCCATGGAATATCCTCTCTGGAACCATGATCCCCCAATTAAATCCTTTCTTTTACAAGTTACCTTGATCATGGTGTTTTGTCACAGAAGTAACGAAGACAGTCACCCTAGTGATAGACGTGCTCTCCTGTGTCCTTATGCCCAGCACATCCCTCCTCACCCTGGGCCTTAGCAGGAGGTAGGCTCCAGAGCCGACACAGCCTGGGGCCCCCGTCCCAGGGACGGAAGGCTCAGGTGGCACCTGTAGCTCTGGACAGACCCCGGCCTTTCTGCTTGGCTGCAGCAGGTCCCTGGAGGCACTGAAGAGTCTGCTGTCCACCACGGGACACTGGCACGACTTTGCCCACCTGGAACTGCTGAGTGCCTGGGAACACTTCGCCTCCATGCACACCTACCCACAGGCCGTGGGCCTCCTTGCCAGGTACTAGTGGGGCAAGAGAAGGGGAGGCGGGGCATATGAACCACGGTGGTCAGGCCCTAAGCCTCCCCTTGAGGCCTCCCGGGTCTGCGTGTGTGTGTGTGTGTGCGTGTGTGCGTGTGTGCCTGTGTGTGTGTTGATGGCACCCTGGAGCACAAGAGGCGTGTGCCCCGCTCCCAGACACACGCACTCAGAGTGTGCAGGTGCAGAGTCCTCCCCCAGTGCCACCCTGTCCTGGCACCTCAGGAACAAAGGCTGCCCGGTCCTCCTCTGCCTCCCCCATGCTTAGCCCAGGCTGGCACTTGGGAGAAGAGCACAGAGACACATGCCTGCTCCTTCTCACTGGGATGGAGCTGGCTGCCCAACCTGCCAGCCTGGGAGGCGGTAAAGGTTTACTCTTGGGCAGTGACCACAAAGCCAGGCCCTGCCCCCAGGGCCATGGTGCAGAATCGCTGCAAACAGATCAAGGCCGTTCTCAGCCACTTGTTGCCCAGCCTGCAGAGCCAGCAGGAGCGAGACAGGAAGACGGCCATCCTGGTCCTCATTGAGGTAGAGTGAGGAGGAGGGAGGGGAGCAGTGGGCCCAAGGTAGCCTATGCTCCAGCCTTCTCAACCCATGACAAGATACCCACCTGACTCACCTCGTGAGGACAGCTGCCCACTCTGCAGGGGCCACCACCTCTCAGCCTATAGCCTTGGGGGGGGGGGCTTTCTCTTTACCCTTCCCTGACCACAATGACCCAAGCAGAGTTGAGAAGCCCTGGACTCGTACTCAGATGTGGCATTGTTCTGCTCGCATGTAACTCAGGGACCCCTCCCACTCCCACCCTAGAACCTTGAGCTACAAGGATAATGACCCTCCAAGTGCTAGGATGTGGGCTCTGGAGGAAGGATCACTTCCATGACTGGTACCAGCTACCATGTCTCTAAGCTGAGAGGGGGTCTTATGCCTCCTCCCACCACACTGGAAGGATTTGTCAGCTGCCTTTTCTGGTGTTTCCACACTTCCCAAGGGCCTTCCATGGATATAAGTTTGCTCCAGGCCAGCTAAATAACTGCTCTAGGCCCCAGTGTCACCAGCCGCACACAGGAGGGTTTGACCACTGAAAAGTTACAAATGCTCGTTGACCCTGGTACCCTGGGGATGCTGGTCAACCATCCTCCTCTAAGCAAGCCCTGCACAGACCCCCCCAAAGCCCCCAACAAAGACATAGGCTGCCCAGGACAGAGTGCCAAGCCTGAGGCAGCTGTTCTCTGGGCCCCCAGTTCCTCTACAGCCCTGCCCTGTTGGAGGTGCTATCTAAGCAGGCTGTGCTGACTATACTGGCTCAAAGCCTCCAGGACGCCAGCTCTGAGGTCCGCGTGGCCAGCCTGCAGGGCCTCGGAAACATACTCTTCCACGCAGAGAAGGTGAGGGACAGAGGGCCATGTAGCCCCAAGCGTCAGGGGTGGGCAAGGTCCAGTGGGTTGGAACCCTAGCTCTGTCACCCGGGACAATGACTTCCCCCATGGGCCACAGCTTCCTCATCTACAGAAATGGACGTATTTGAGGAGAGTGCATTCATGTTCCCCAGGAACATGTCTCCTTACCCTGAGAAGGGATGGATCCTCCTGCACAACCCAGAGGAACCAAGTTCCAACCGGCAGGCATACCGTGCCTGGTTTACTCCCTTGGTTCCTCTATCAGAACCCAGCCTACGAGACGAGACCCCAGGTCCCAGCACACTGACTGCACCCACAGGTGCCCAAGTCTGCACTGCCATCAAATAACTGTGAAGGTGAACTTAACGCTTTAAGCAAACAAAGCATAGGAGGCAAAGTGTGTTTAAACCCTGCTTAGAAGTTGGGGGAAAGTCGCCCCGATAAGAGGTGAGAACATCCTGTTGCTTTCTGGCCATTCATCTGGAGTTCAGGACACACAGCCAACAAGGACAGGCTGGAAGAACGAGCAGCAAAAGCATAAAAATGGCCCACAGTGGCCCCTTGCAACAACAAAGTCCTGGAGACACACCTCAGTAAATGCAACCTGGCCAGCCAGTCTTTCTTCGTCCGGCTGACCCCATCTTACCCGAAGGGGAGCCAGGCATGGAGGTGGAGCCCAAGTGGGGCTCAAAAGAAGAAAACAGTGGCCCCAGGTCCAGGAGTGATAAGGACCTGGGACCCAAGGGCGAGGGAGCATCAGGGGCTCTACCGGGTACCCGAGCGAAGCAGAGTGAAGTGGGCAGACCTGTGCCTCCCGCCCACCAGCCACTGTCTTCCCCCTAGGGAGCCCTGCTCAGAGGTCAACTGCCAGCCTTCGTCAATGGCTTCTTCCAGAACAACGAGGCAGTGGTGGCAGGCGTTATGGGCATGGTGTCAGATGTACTGCACCGCCTGGGCACAGAGGGCGCAGGTGCTCAGAGTCTCAGCATCGCCATCAACGCCTGCCACTTCTTTGATGACGTGAGCATAAGGACAGCATGGCTGGGCTTGCTCCCCTGCCCCCCCCAACCCCCCGTGCTTCAGGACTCCTTCTGCCCTCCCCCTGCACCTGACACTGAGCCCAGGGGAACCGGACCTGTCGGCCAAGCTGTGAGCCCACAGGGGCACCAGATCTGGCCAGGGTCCGCCAGGTGGTGCTCTCCCCTTCCTTGTCCAGCCTCTCTGTGCCCTGGCCTCCTACAGACCACTCAGGCAGGTCCCTGTGTCCAAAATGACTTCCCCACCCCACCCCCCGGCCACTTCACTAGAAAATGAAAGTCACCCAGCTGCCTCAAGGTCCTGGCCGTCAGGTGACAGTGGGCACCAGAGGACAGGGCGCCTCTATGTGAGGATGACCTGAGGCCTTGTCCGAGAGAAAGGCCTGGCCCTCCTCTGAATCTAAGTAAGGAGGACCGGCCTTACCCTGGGCCCCTGAGCCTGACTGAGGAAGTCCAGGGAAGTAGGGGCTCCAAGCTGGGGAGCACCGGGACCTCTCTAAGTCCCTGCCTCCTAGGAGCGGGACAGTATCCGAGCTGCAGCTATGGCACTGTTTGGGGACCTGGTGGCAACGATGGCAGACAGGGAGCTGAGTGGCCTGCGGCCCCAGGTGTGCCAGAGTATGGTCCCTCTGCTCCTACACCTGAAGGACCAGTGCCCAGCTGTCGTCACGGTCAGTACCCAGCCGCAAGCCTTTCACCGTGGTCAAGGGACAGGGCGGCCAGGTCAGGTTGCCTGAGGGCAGCCGAGAGGGCAGTGGCAGGAGGTCTGGTCATCCTCAGGGCTCTCCAGATCACTGTCCCCTCCCACATCCACTCTGGCCAGCCGGGCCTGTGGGTCTCCCGACTGCAGCAGAGCATGGGGGGACACGGGCACACAGTGTACCTGCTGGTACGCAGACAGAACCTCTGCTCTCTGCACCCCCTATGGTCTGAGGAGGAGACAGCAGCAGCTCCCCAACGAGCTCAGACAGAGCTGAGTACCCACCTACCTTCCGCAGGGCACTGTGACCCTAGGTAGGCACAGCTTCCCAGCGGGCTGCCGAGGTGCCCGCTGCAGCTGTGGTCTCGGGGAGTGGAAAAACCCTGCTCTGCCACACCCGGGGGGGGGGTGGGTGACCCCTCCCATGGCTGTCTCCACAGCAGGCCAAGTTTGCTTTCTACCGCTGTGCCGTATTGCTCAGTTGGCAGCCACGGCACACCCTGTTCTGCACACTGGCCTGGGAGACCGGCCTCAGCGCCCGCCACTTCCTCTGGACCTGCCTGGTGAGGGGCCAGGGCTTAGGGTCAGTAGTGGGGACTTGAGACAGCTGCACCCCACAGACTCTCCTTCCCAGGGCGGTGAGGCTGACAGGGGTAAAGGCCAGCAGTCCCCGAGGCCCCTGGCGGTGACAGGTGGCTCTCCCCTCTGGCCAGATGACCCACAGCCAGGAGGAATTCAGCATACACTTGTCTCAGGCCATCAACTACCTGCACAGTCGCCGCCGCCACATCAAGACCTGGGCAGCTCTTTTTATAGGTGGGCAGAGTGGGCCAGGCTTGAAGTCCACACTCACCCTGCCCACTCACCTCAGCAGAGAAGAGAAAGGGGGAAGGGAAGGAGGGCGTGGGGCTAAGGAGTTTGGGGTTTCTGGAAGCTCCTGGGGGCTGGGCCAGGGCAGCCTCCATCCAGCAGCCATGGCTCTCCATCTTGCTTGTATAGGGTACACCACCTGCTACCAACCTCAGGCCGTGTCACAGATGGTAAACGACATGGACACCAAGCTGCTATTCTCCAGTGAGCAGCCCACATCCTGGGCCTGCCTCCACACCTCCCAGCTTCCTGCAGCATGCCTAACTTAGATGTTGGCAAAGACAAGGACCCAGGCCTCTTGAGCAGACCCCACCCGCCAGGGCACTCCATGCTGGCAATGGACAGAAAGAGCCCTCCTACCCTCCTGCCCAAGTTGAACTGCAGTTGTGGGGCTGGAAGGTTGCTCCCAGGCTGGGCTCACCTTTGACTTGTCTTTCTCTCTTGAAGCTTTTAAAGATCTCAAAAAAGACCCAGATCCTGGCATTCGGGAATTTGCCACCAGGCAGTTCGCATTCCTTCGGGAGGTGTTAGCCAGATCCAAGAAGTGACTTCGAGTCGTCCTCCCCCACCTCCGCTCCCAGAACAGCCCTGCCCCACACCTGTCCACAGAGCTCGGTTGTATAACATTTTTTTCCGTTTGAAAGAAAAATCTAGATTCAACAAAAAAGTGTAATAGCTGCCGGCTTCCAGTGGGCAGGAGCACACACAGCCCACTGCTGTGGCCAAGCCAGTGCCCTCAGAAGATACTGGCAAGACTCGGGGACACAGACAGGGACAGACAAGGAGGGGAGGGGCAGAGACAAACTGGTAGGCCTGTGACAGACTCTGCTAATGACTGCCCGGGGATGAGATCGATGCCACCTGACCAGAGCCCAGGCCACAGCACCCGTGGCTGAGCAGACCGTTCACTGGGAGCGGTGCCCAAGATGAAAGTCTCCAGTGACCCTAGCTGAGAGCTCTGCGGGGGATGTGGGGCGGTGGGGGTGTGGGGCGCTCCAGCAGGCTTCTCTATCCCAGGGCAGAGTCCTCCTCCAGCGGGGCCAGCCAGCTGCAAAGGAAGAGCTTAGATATCTGCCCCAGCTGTAGACCACCCAAATGTGCAGGAGTCTAAAAGAGGGTAACTGACTCCCTGAGGGTGCCCCCAATCCCTTCTCAGCCTCTGTCTCAGGAACGGCAGAGACGACCTGTGGGTGAGCTTAGGGGGCTTCACCACAGCTTGTCATCCTCGGGACCCATTAGATCAGCCAGCGCCAGCAAGGGACCTTCTAGTTAGCCCTCAAACCCTGGGCCATCCCAAAGCCTCCACACCACATCCCCTGGCCTTGGATGGAACTGGCAGGAGGTCTGGTGACAGGGTTTGTTGGGTCGGCTCTGCACGCCCTCATCCAAATGCTGGGGCCCATCTCTCCCAGCCCGGAACTATGTGCACCCTGGGGCAGGTCACTGTGCTGAAAACTTGAATGGCAGGCTGAAAAACGTGACTCCGTGCAAATATGCCACAGGTGCGGTGAGCTTCCAGTGCACACAAGGTCCCCACTGCTGAGTTAGGGGAAGCCCAAAAGGCTGTACCTTGCCGCAAGGCCTGCCTTGCTGGGACAGGCAGGAACAGAGATTGCTGGGGCTTTAAGCAGGCCCCTATGGCTTCTGGGACCTAGTCCAGAGCTAGGTAGGGTAGGAGGCCACTGGGCAGACATATGGGTCTTAAAGAGGGAAGGATCCAAGGCAGGTGACAAGTGCAGGTGGGAGGTGCCCTGGGTCTGTTATAGGCACCAGGGGACAGGGCTGGTGCCACAGGACAGACAGCACATCCACACTGGCACCTACAGCCGCTCTGTCCCTCCCCATCCTCAGCTAAAGGAAGACCCAGGCTGCTGCTCAGAACTTGTGAGCGGGAAGGTCAGGCCCTACACAGGCCCCAGCTTTCTCACACTCAGATCTACCCGCACCCCACACCACTCTGCTGCCCTACCCTCTTCCTCCTCTGGGCAATGGAGGTCATTTTCTAGGCCAAATCTCACGGGGTGCAGGTGGTGGGGGAGTGGAGGCCACTGAAACTTCCAAGTGAACCCCACTCTGTCCTACAGAGGTGGCCCAGCCTCACCTTCTAGTGTTCCAACCCCTAAACTGTCACCAGTCCAAGCTGGGACCCCACACTAGTTTGTCAAGAACTTGTAGAAACAAGGCAGGTGCAGAGCATTACGTGGCCACCAGAGGGTGCCAGGGAGACACGCAGCAGCAAGACTACACAGGCCAGCAGAGATGGCCTCCCAGGATGCTGACCCCAATCCCCTGCTCAGCAACACTCCTCACACATCCACAGCTGCTGATTTATTGCCTTGAGAGTCCAGAGCACCTGAAGGCCCAGGATCTGGTAACAAAGGTGCCGAAAACGGGTTAGGGTGAGGGCAGCGCTTCTGAGGCACTGGGCCAGTGGTTAAAAACACCCACCTGCAGTCCACAGGCCGGGGTGAGGCCTGAGCAGGGGGTGGAGGGGCTGGATGGAACTGGCAGGAGGTCCAGGGACAGCCTCAGAAAGACGGCCATGGGCACTGACAGGGACAGAGCAGGAACACACGCGGCCACTGGACGCCTTAGACACAGGTGCACTGAGAGACAGGAGTTAAGGGTGTACAGGGCCTGAGCTACATGACGCAGCATCTGGTCTTGTGCGTGTGGGGGTCTTTGAACCGTAGTCTCTGCTTAGGTCGGTACTTCTCCAGGTAGGTGAGTTGCTTGCTGTTGATGGCCCCACGGCGCTTCCTGCAGGCAGGAACAGGCAAGAGGGGTCATAAGGCCTGGCTTGGACACCTTGCTTTCCCCTGTGGGACTCCAGGGGACTGGAGCAGGAGCCCTCTTGTCCTTATCTATGTGGCCTTGAGCGGACAGACCCACAGGAGGTAGGTTAAGCTGGGGCTCCGGGGCGAGGCTGGGAGGCCTGGGCTTACTGAAGGCTGGGGAGCATCTCACCCCAGCTGGCCAGCACCTCCTCAGTGTCTGCATTTAGCAGAGCTCTTTAGGGTGCACACCCATCTGTATGGCCCAGGCCTCTCTAAGGACACCTACAGGCTGGTAGGCCCACACTGCGGCGGCCATACAGGGCCTGCCCCAGGGAGAAAGAGGTGGGGGCTGTGCCTTTTTCAGGCAGCACAGAGGTGTCCACATATCCATGGTGGACATGTCACACGCATGCACACACAACCCACAGGCTGGGGTCCTTGCCCGGGACGTCAGGAAGACGCGGTCCCCCAGGAAGGCTACCCTAGCACAGGGAGGTACTGGCTGGGGAGCAGCCAGGGTTAGGGGAGAACGTCTCAAGGAACAGCTACAGAATTGGGAGGTGAGGGGCAAGGAGAGCCCATAGCGACAGCTTAAGCCCCGTCAAGATCCACTAAGTCTCTCTCTCTCTCTCTCTCACACACACACACACACACACACACACACACACTGGCTGCTCACTGTCGGATGAATTGGATGGCGTCCTCATACTTCATCCCGCTCTCGATCAGGGCAAGCGCCACAAGTACCGGAGCCCTGTGGGGACAAGAAACCTGAGGTTACCTGAGGCCCCACACCAAATCCCGTCCCTGCCTCGGGTCACCTGACAAAGCGGACGCATGAGAGCCTGGTTACCCCCCAGTTCCTTGCTCACGGAAGACACAGACTCTAGACAGCACAACTCCCTGCTCTAGTCTGGCCCCTCCTGTGCAACCTGGAGAGAGGCAGACAACCTCTCTGTGCCTAAACTAGAAAAACAGCTGAGCATACTGGCCTGCCCTTGCATACTGGCCATTAAGCCTGCCCTCCAACCCTCCTGCAAGGGGGGTGTCAGGGGTGCTCCCCCGCCGGGCTCACTTCCATCTAGTGTGGGCAGCAGTTCCTCCTCGAACAGGGATCGGGCCTGGGTGAGCGGCCTGTCTTTATGACAGCTCTTTTCTGCACGAGGTGCAGTGTCTGGATCATAGCAGAAGCCCTCCCTGCCAGGCTGTGAAAGGGCTTGCCTGGGAACCCCAGGCCTTAGAAATGTCAAGCGGATCTGGCCCACATCCAAACTCACAGAGCAATAAAGTCAGGCCACAGACGCACAGGCTGTGCTCCCAGCAGCAACAGAGTCGCGAGTGCCACCCTCACTCACCTTCCCAAGCCTGCTACACAGTGCACAGCCACACAGCTGCCCGGGTCATTGTAGAATTTGGCCTTCAGCAGGCTCAGCCAGTCCTCCACCACCTTGCCAGGAGGGGGCGCCCCGTCATCAAAGGGCCAGTCCTGCAGAGGAAGATGCTTAAGGACCTGTCCTATGAACGTTAGCCTTCCTTCCCCTGCCCCTCGGAGTTCTAGGTGGGAGGGGGAAGCCAGCCTTCATGGAGAAGGCCCCAGCCCAGGCTATGCAGAGAAGACAGAGGTGGGACCCTGCTGCTGGGTAAACATGGCTCTGCAGCAGCTAGCTGATGCAGGGTAGCATCTTGGGGGTCTCTCTACCTCCCTCTGTCTCCAAACTAGACCTCTCCTGGGGGCCACCAGTTAATGTAGCTGTCCCGAGCCTAACCCATGTCTCTCCTGAGGCTTGGGCAACCTTGGACCAAGATGCTGCCATGTCTTCATCCTATACTCACCCTCCCCTGAATACCCACACTGCGGGAGGCCCGTGAGTGTCAGAACAGCCTGTGAGGTCCCACAGCAGGGAAGGGTCAACAACAGGAGTCCTCCCAGGCCTGTGACACCCCCAGCTCTTCCTCCCTCTACAAACTGCCAGGCAGTGGATATGGGAGCCCATCAGCACAGGGTCCTCACGGGGGAGTAACCTGGAGTCACTCTGGTGCTGAGGACAGGACCCCAGGGCCTCAGCACAGCCCGCCAGGGTCTGCTGCACGCACGAGGCCCGCCTCATCCAGGCACTGCACCTTATGCCAAGGAACTGGCTCTGCTCTGAGACTCCAAGCACCATGACCAGTTCTCCAAGGCTGCCCCTCCTCCACTCAGCTGAGGCCCCAGGGTCAAGAAGCCAAGGAAACAGCAACTAGGATCCCTACCCATGGCCTCCTCGCAGGGTCTCTTGGGACCCACTGCTGCCAGGAGACAGGCTCCCACACAGCAGGCGATGCGGGCCTGAGGAGAGGCCCCTGGGAGCGGTAGGGGAGCCAGGCAGGCACTTTTCTGAGCCCCACTTCTTCTGAACAAAAGGGTCTCCATCTTCACCAGCCAGGGCTGACAGGTCTCCAGCCCCAACCACAGCGCCAGATACACCCAGCCGGTGGAGAAGCGGCACAATTGGGGATTCGAATGCCACACCCCATGGGAGCCCTCCTCCTCCTAGCCGGGGTCTCAGAGAACGTCTGATTCCAAGCCTCAGTTGCTCCAAAAAAGGAACCACACACAGGCTACGGGCTGCCAATGAACCTGGAGCACCTAACAGGACCCACAGGCCCCAACACAGACAAGCCAAGAGCGACAAGTATGTGCAGCCCGACCTCAGGAGATGACTTTCTCAGAGTCATCTGCCCCACAACCAGCCCAGGCAAAGACAGCCCAGGATGCATCAGGCAGCAACAGAGAGCCCAGCATCGCAGTGAAGAGCCCCAAATCTACTGTCTAGACGTTGCTCGGGGCAGCCCAGAGCCCCACGCCCCTCACCACAACAGTGATGCCGTCCTTCTCCAGAGGGGT